AGGGCCCTTTGTGACATGGTCAGTGTGGGATGGAAAGGGACAGGGTGTCAGAGGGCCCTTTGTGACACGTGGTGACAGAGGAGCTGGCCACAGCGACAGGTCCACGCCACAGTGCTCGGTGCACGCGACGGGACAGGACGTGCCAGAGCGGTGCTGTGAGGAGCCCCCACACAGCGCACTCGTTTGTGTCTCACCCGGAGCTTCTCTGAGCCGTCATTCTTGCAGGTGACCTCGAGGCCAGACCACAGGACTTGGTGACCTGTGGCCTTGCCGAGGCTTCTCATCTGCAGGTGCCCTTGAGGGCAGACTGTGGGACCTGGTGACCCGGTGCTTTTCCGAGGCATCGCCCATCCCTGCAGTCACTGCCCTTGAGACCAGGGCACAATCCTTGACGAGGAGCCTCCTGTCCTTGTGGCAGGAGCCCTCAAGACCCGAGTGCAGGACTTGCTGTTCTGCAGTCTTGCTGGGACTTGAGTCTTGCAGGTGCCTTCCAGGCACGACTGCAGGACTTGCTGCCTCAGAGCTTTTCCGAGGCATCTCTCTTGCAAGTACCATAAATTCAGTCCCTACCATGGAGCAGCGACCCCCAAGAGTTCCCAAGCTGGCCTGGGTGGAGGAGGAGGAGGAGGAAGAAGGCCCTGGAGCTGACCCAGAAGTAGAGACTGAAGAGGTGCAGGAATTCCAGCCACTGGAGGAAGGTGAGTTGCAGAGCTCAGCCTTAGGGCTAGTGCGGGTTGCCAGCTTAGCCCCATCCCATTGCATGCCATGCCATCCCCTGGTGCTGTTCCAATGGAAAGGATGGGAGAGTGTTGGAGAAGATCTGGAGCAGCGACCCCCGAGGGTGCCCAAGCTGGCCTGGGTGGAGGAGGAGGAGAAGGAGGAAGAAGAAGGCCCTGGAGCTGACCCAGAAGTAGAGATAGAAGAGGTGCAGGAGTTCCAGCCACTGGAAGAAGGTGAGTTGCAGAGCTCGGCCTTAGGGCTAGTGCCTGTTGCCAGCTTAGCCCCATCCCATTGCATGCCATGCCATCCCCTGGTGCTGTTCTGATGGAAAGGATGGGAGAGTGTTGGAGAAGATCTGGAGCAGCGACCCCCGAGAGTGCCCAAGCTGGCCTGGGTGGAGGAGGAGGAAGAGGGAGAAGACTCTGGAGCTGCCCCAGCACCAGAGACTGAAGAGGTGCAGCAATTCCAACCACTGGAGGAGGGTGAGTTGCAGAGCTGGGCCACAGGGCTGGTGCCTGCAGACAGCTTGGCCCCATCGCACATTCCATCCTGTCCCGTCCCATCCCATGGAGACACTCCCAGGGACAGGATACAAGAGGGGCTGGGGCTGCCCCCCCAGCAATGCCCATGCTCCATCCCCTGGGGCCTCCCGGGACGGTCCCTGCCTGGGGATCACAGGGCTGGGCAGCGTTCTCCAGCCACTCCTGCAGCCCCTCAGCTCTGGCCGCTCTCGCTCTTTGCCAGATGCAGCCATGGACCGGACACAAGAGCAGGGCCTTGCCTGTGGCCTCTTCCGCAGAACACCTGCACAGGTACCTGCAGGCATCCCCAACTGGGCTGGGCCTGCTGGCACGGCTCAGCCCAGCACCATGCTTGGAACACTCCATGCAATATCCCTCTCTTCCCACCCTTCCTTCTCCTACCCAACATGCAAATTCATCAAGCACATTTGGCAGGAAGAGACCAGCGTCATGGGCACTGGGTCCATGGAAGATGGTGACATCTACACCAGCGACACCAGTGCTGCCATGCTGGAATTCATTTTGGAGGAGGGTGTTTCCATTCCAGAGCAAGTAAGCAGCCTGTGGCCAGGGTTTGATTCTCCAGGGATCGCTTGGCCTCCCAAGCCACGCCTGCTGATCACTCTAAGCTTTTGAGGCCATTGCAGCGTGGTGACAAGGGAAGCACTTCTCTGGAGATGCTGGGGACATTCCTGACTCCCTCTGGCAGCTTTCCGAGTCTCCCCTTGTGCCTCCTCCAGGTGCCTGCCGTGGTGAGGTACATCCACCAGTGGCTCATGGCCAATGAGTCTGCTGACTCCAGGCTGGGCAGGACCCTGCTGGATCTGACCGAGGCACAGCCCACTGATGTGGTCATTGCTCTCCTGCGTGTGGCCCCAACGTGTGACAGGTACGGGGCCCACGTGCCCAGAGGGCTCAGGGCTCCCCAGCCCATCAGCCTGCACAGCCCTGCCCAGGTGTCTGAGCAACAGAGAGTTGCAGGGTCCTGTGTACCTACCTGGGACCTTTCCCAGCCCTGCTCCATTGGCCCCTGAGCCTGCTGCCATGCCATGTCCCGTCAGGGCCCTGTCCCCACAGGCTGGGTTGCCTGGGTGCCGCTGCCAGCGAGGGGCAGCGGGCAGAG